CTTACGAAGAAAATTTAAAAATAGAAGTACTTCTGAGTATCAATTTCGTACTATTTGTTTAAGAAAAACATGCACAATAGTATTCTTCAAAGTTTTTCACCTGCAGCTATAAGGCTAAGCTTAGTGAAACAAAGAAGGAGCAAGTTCTTGGCTTTAAGGCGACTGAGGCCAAATCTTTAGAGCCTCTGTTTTCCAAATAACTTTTAAGCTTTTGCAACATGAAGCCGAGCATTATCATGATGGAAAATTTTTACCTCGTGCCTAGTGGCAAGTTCGGGACATTTTCCAGCAATCATCCACTCAATTTGATGAGTTGTGGTCAGCGACGTTCCCACATAAGGTTTCACCCTATATTAAGAGCGCTTAACTCAGCACACTCTTCTGACCTTACTAAATACAAAGCATTACTTTGTCATCATGGATATTCGGCTTTGACGTTGATTTGGCTGGCTAGTCAAGTTTCATTTTTCATCGCTTGTCATAATCCGATGCAAAAAAATATATTTTGGCATTCTAGCAGCATTTCTGAAATACAAAATGAAATTACAAAGTCTCTGAGCTTCAATTCATTTGGAACCCTTGCTTTTCCGAATACGTTTAAACGTTTTGAAATAGCTACTTGGTTGTCTGCCAAGGACCCTTGGTGTATTTAAAAGCTCTTGAAAGTTTAATTTCCAAAAGCCATAAATCTATTGATAATAGTAGAATAATAAAGTTCGTCTGACTGAGCTCCGAAAACAGGAAAATAACACAGTTATAAAAGATTTTCTTTCGAGTAAAATTATCAAACTATCATCTGCTTCTCTCTCTCTGCGATGAAGTCAAACTTGAGGCAGTTGTTATTATCATATCAACATCTAAGTTCATCATAAACACCTCCGGACCATATATTAGCACGAACATTATGCAAATAATTCACGAAAAACTTTTGTTCTGAAGGAAATAAGAATTGTTCAGTGTAAACAAATTTCTCTTTTTCAAAAAAAAAAAAAAAAAAGAGGTAAGGAAGTGCTAAGTTCGGGTGTCACCGAACATTTTATACTCTCGCATGATAAAGTGATAATCGAGATTTCATTATCCGTCATTTATATATTTTTTTATATTGCTGTAAAATTAATTAGATTAGATCAATTTGTGTACTTTGAGCAGTGAATTGTATTTTCATTTATTTTAACTGTATTGAATAACATATTTTTTTGGTGAAAAATTAGGTTAGGTTAGGCACTGAGTTCTTCGTGTTCGATATCAGGGTCCTTGAAAAGTTATAGTCCGATCACGACAATTTTTCCACAAGGGATACCTCAGCTTAAATACCGTATTTGTGTAAAGTTTTATTCCGATATCATCATTGGTTCCTAATGTGTATATTATACAGGGAAGGCATCAGATGGAATTCAAAATAGCGTTATATTGGAAGAAGGCGTGGTTGTGAACCAATTTCACCCATATTTCGTACATATCATCAGGGTGTTAAGAAAATATTTTATACCGAATTTCATTGAAATCGGTAGAGTAGTTCTTAAGATATGGTTTTTGGTCCATAAGTGGGCGACGCCACGCCCATTTTCAATTTAAAAACGAAAACCTGGGTGCGGCTTTCTTCTGCCATATCTTCCGCAAAATTTAGTRTTTCTCCCTAATGCGATCGTTTGTGCCAAATTTCACTTTAATATCTTTATTTATGGCTTAGTTATGACACTTTATAGGTTTTCGGTTTTCGCAATTTTGTGGGCGTGACAGTGCACCGATTTTGCCCATCTTCGAACTTAACCTTCTTATGGAGCCAAGAAATACATGTACCAAGTTTCATCATGATATCTCAATTTTTACTCATGTTACAGCTTGCACGGTCAGACAGACAGACATCCGGATTTCAACTCTACTTGTCACCCTGATCACTTTGGTATACATAACCCTATATCTGACTCTTTTAGTTTTAGGACTTACAAACAACCGTTATGTGAACAAAACTATAATACTCTCCTTAGCAACTTTGTTGCGAGAGTATAAATATGTAAAATAATAAGTATACATTCGTTGCTTTCTAGTAGTGTTTTCGGAAAGGTTTTGGTTTTATACCTCACTTGTTTCCTGTTACTTTTTATCAAAGAGCTTTTGATTTTCACAGTAACAATTACATATAAAGTCTATTCATATGGATTATCACAACAAGTGAACTAACCTCATTAGACTTCAATTCAGATGACCTAAGTAATTCGAATTTTTTCATCTTCCTCCCGTTTTTCCATCTCTATATATTACATGTATATATATACATATGTAGGTATATATACGATCATATGTAAAAAGTTTAATAATCTTAGCAAAGTTTTTATGAAAACCTTTAAAGATAAATAACACTTTTCAGCTTAAATTAAAGCATAAAAGCACATCTTTTCAACAGTCACAAGTCTTTGTCTCACACTACCTCCTTTCTGAAAGCGCCAATCCACAAATAATACAATAATAATATCAAAAGCTACACTGTGTAATGTTAGGGAGAAAATAATAATAGTAATTTTAGTGGTTCATACATGTGATGGATACCCATTAGGAAAAATTTGAGCTCACCACGCATACGAAATTTGGAAGAAAGGAAAATTAAAAAATTGCTTCAACCAAATTTTATCAATGAAAATTAAATCAATTTTTCATTTACTATCAGGAGTGATTCTGGCTATGTGAATTGAAACACTTTTTTCACAAAAAATGAAATGATTCAAATCATTTCTATTCATTTCAAAAGAGAGATTTTTGTTGACAAATATTTTCACATAAAAAATACCAAATAGAGTMTATTTCTGAGTAGCTTATAGGAGAAAAAAACATTTTTAAATTCACTCAAATATTATTCATATTTTCGAYATCATAAAATTTCTCTCAGGGTTTGCGACCGTTAGCTTTCGCAATCGAATCCGAGTACCCAATTCTCTCATCAAATTAAATCAAGCGCAGTAATAGAATCGCCGTTATGTTCCCGCATGCACAATAAAACAAAACTCAATGCATTCATAGTGGGTAATAAACATTTGCTCACACATGTGTATATGTAATAGTACATAACTCCTGACATATACACGTATATTTATATATATCATATATGTACCATTACAAAACGTCAGATATTTCTATTATATCATGTGTGCACTCCGCACTTAATTGGTTATACATAGATGGAGGGGAGGCTACAAATCGCCAAGGAATCAAAGATTGGCTGTACTAWGTTAACATAGTTAAGACATGTCATATTACTCGTATTTACACCCAATATAATTTTAAAGCGTAACTAAATATAATATATTTGCTGAAGATAATTTTGATTTTATAATAAAGCATTTTGAAGTAAGTATTAAGAAGCTTTAAAAGGTTTATGAATGAAGGATATGATATTATTTGTGTCTCGCATTGTAATTTCATTCCATTGATATTTCAATATCAGTATCATATTCTGTACAAAAGATTAACAACCGGGCTGATATAAGTATAATCCACCAAGACAGGTGACTAAAAATTAATTTTTTCTCGATTTACATATCCATAAATAAACTTCAAATCAACAAAAAAATATTGAGCGGCGAATAAATACATATATTAATTGTCATGCCAAGCATAGCAAAAGATAAATAAAAATTATAAAAAAAGAGGATATAACATTCGTAGGGAATCTACATACTCTCTGCTATATAATCGCGTTATAGACTATAAATCCTAAGATATGTATGATTTCAATATTTTTATGGTCATTCTGATTAATCATCAGTAGCAGTTAACATAATAAGATTTTATAACATATTGTTAACATTCCGATTTGGAAGTACTATGTTCAAGTCTTTGAGTAGATAATTTATCGGGGATATGAAAAATTATATATACTTTTTTGTACTGCATTACAGTGAATTATTATGATATTCACCACCAAAACGGAATAAAACCCTTAAGCAATCTCAAGCAGTAAAGAAATAATTTTAGTTGTCCTATGTTCAAGCTGTGAACTCTTTTCCATGAAGAAAATTTTTATTTTGTTAATAAATCTAAGACCGCGATTTATTAACAAAATAAAAATTTGTGGTCTTTCCTAAATTCCCTATCCATGTATGTATATGTTACTATGGTGTTCTAGGATATTTTTAGCAGCAAGAATAGACTGGGTTAGTAAAGTATGGAATGAAGTTAAAAGTATTTGAGAGTTAAAATCTCAAAAAAAWTTTTATAGAGAAAAAAATTCTCTTTCTTCTATTAAATTACGTATTTAAAGGGCTTGTACGGAACCGGAAGTTACAAAAATCTCTAAGAACCTCTAACCTTTCATTTACAAAACAATCTTTACATAATCTGAGGGAATTTGATAAATTTCTATAAACTTATCAGGTGAAATACTTGGTTTTGAAGTATYTTATCTAAAAATAACTGAAATATCTAAAACCGAATAAAGAAAACATGAATAAACACAAAAAAACTGAAGCCGGCTGATCGCTAACCAATCTCGAACGACATCGCTCGGTCACTAGGCCAATACGCATTGGCTGATCGTGAGCGCGACCATGAGCAAGGTGTGATTAGATTTGTAGGTGGCAAAATTGATTTGTAATGCTGCTGCCACTCAAGCGGCGGTCGAAATGACAAGTACAAACTGGAATGCCACAAATACATATGTACATATGTATAACRKCAAAGATAAGGTGCAAACGAAGTGCGTATATAATTATCACGAAAAAATTGTGTACAAAGCAAACCAAGATTTCTTAATTGCGGTTTCTTTTATACCGTTAATGGGTAACATTGAAAAAAATATGTATTATGATTTATTATGAAGCGTGCAAATAAAGTGCACCAAAGTCAAAATCGACGAATATTGCCAACTAATGCACACCCACAAATTTATTTGTGTAACACTGATTTGTTGTTATAAAATKATTAAATAATATGCTCGAACCGAAAATTAGCTGTAATTACTATAAAACGCCTCGTGAGCCTTGGCAACAGCATCAGTTCCCGTTTCAGCTTCACAACGCTTAGAGCAACAGCTTACAGTTGGCGAAATATTTGGCGAAATATTTGGATTACTCTTCCACAGGATCAATATTATCAAACTCCACAAAATGACATTCAAATTCATTGTATTCTCAGCGCTTTTGGCCGTCGCCAGCGCCGGCGTTTTACACCATCCCGTCAGCTATGCGCATGTTGTCAATCCCGCTGTGGATGCCGTCGCCGCRACACACCAGAACGTGGTGCGCTCCTTCGGCGGTACTGTCTCCCAGTACTCGAAGAACATTGAAACCCCCTATTCCAGCGTACACAAATCGGACACTCGCATCAGCAACAACGTCTACACACCAGCCGTCGCTAAGACTGTCACCTACGCTGCACCGGCTGTGACAAAGACCTTCGTAAGCGCACCTTCACAAACCGTATATGAGCAACATGAGGCCGTACCCGCCGTGTATGAACACGTCGAACCCGCACCAACTGCTGCTGTTTATACCCATGCCGCGCCAGCTGTGGCCAAAACCGTCAGCTATGCCGCTCCCGTTCACCAGCTGTATCATCATGAGGCTCCTGTCGCCAAAACCGTGAGCTACGCTGCGCCAGCTCCGGTTTACCAACATAAAGCTGCTCCAGTGGCCACCACCACCTACAACCATGGTCCAGCTGCCACCACTTACACCCACAATTCACCATCGGTCGCCGCTTATGGTTCCAGCCAAACTGTGCACTACTCACCCGCTGAGATGGTCTCGCACATGAGCTTCGATGGTTTCGGCACACACTGGGGATTCTAAGTAGCTTTTGCCRTTGCATAAGACTGTACTGCGGAACTGTTCAACGCGTTTGAATTTATTTTGTTAATATTTTAACTTTTTGTTGTTKTTATTTTGTGTTTACCGTASCAACACATTTGTTATGTCATTACCATTATGATTTTATACATACAATAAATGTTATATAATCACTATTTAATCACTCAATCAACTAAGTTTTTCATTCCTCAGCAAATGAAAGCACTTTAAGTAGAAGAGTTTTTTTTTTTTTGTTTGCAGTTATCTTTTAATCCTGGAAGGCAACCATGCAATCAGCTATAAACAAATCATAAAATTGYTATTGCCTTAGGAGAAGTAAAACAATAATATTCGCAAAATCCTTTTAGCCATTCTGGTAAGCCATCGACAAATGGGTTAAGTGCTTCAGTGGAACATTAAATGATTGTGTGCGTTACAGTGGGGCAAAAAGTTGTTCGATATGTATGTATATTTGGGGCCAATTKKAGATTCMAAGTGTAGCCAGKTTCTRCTCCACCTGGTCTGTCYAACCGAGTGGAGGTCTTCCTTATTCTCTGCTTCCCCCGGGGAATACTATTTCGTATACTCTCAGAATCGGACCACATTACCTAGCCAGCCACCTAGCGAAAATACCGCAAGACTTTTTTGACAAACTAATATATAATATACATATGTATGCCGAGCCTCCGTGGCAGATGGTCCATCTGTTAAGTCCAATTTTCGATGGCTGGTAACTGGCGAACTGGCACAGGTGATGTTTCGTTCCAAGGCCTGAATAGAAGCGGAATTGTGCGCATAGACTTAAGAAAAAAGTCTAACGGTGTTATATCTTGGTAGCGAAAATGGAACGACCCAAAACGTGAAATTATCTGCYTACCGAAGTGTTCTCCAATCCATTTGATGCGCTGTTTGGGAAATGGGCTTCTTTACATACCAATTGAGAAATTCTTCTTAGAACTTTTCAAAACGCGCTCCGCTGAAGTCGCTTGGCTTCAGTTCTTGCACAAGTTTTATTTTCTTTCTCGTCGATTTAAGATTTCGACATAAACTGTGCCTAGTCGTTCCATATATCAGTGCGGGTAGCTGCGAACGGYTTCSWATCGACTCTTCACGGTCTTCATGTACACTCTCTGCTRTGGCTGCTATATTCTCTTCACTGCATGCTGAAAGKGGCMTATTCGGTCGAATATTATACAATGGCGATTGTTGGGTCTCAAGATCGGTAATGTTGTTGCGTATGGTACGCTCTTTTGTATCACATTTATACATTTTCATCCCATTGTGCGGATAATGCACTCACAAGTTAATGCAATTCTGCAATCGTATTCCTCAGTTCGTGCGAAAATCTCAACTCAAATCATCGACATTATTTACCCTTCCAATGTGGCAAAAGCAAAGAGAACAGCCAAACGTTTGGCTACGTGATTTCTGCTGCAACAACTTAAAAATCGGACATTGGCAGCAACGTGCTGAGCATACAGAAAAGTCAACTGCTTCAAGGAAAGCGCACGCACACTAAAACACCACACGCATGCAGGCTTACGAAGATGGCAAAGCAATGACGGAAGTAARGAGAAGAGAAAGATGATAAGTGCCAACGGCAGTCAGCGTCATAAAGGCATTCCAATGAGGGTATATAGTTGCACGAAGTGCTACTAAAAATGTGCAATGCAATACTCTCCACAACCGCACATATACAAATACTCACACACAGTGCTTTGGTAGCGCAGGACAAGCGGCAAGTTGAGTTGCAGTGCATTTTTCATGCGTGCAATATGAGTCGCCTTTGACTCTCCTTTGACTCCGCTTGCCGCTACATATAGACGTATATATGTTTTGTCAATCTGCATTGCCTTTACTGCACCACTTCCTTGGCGCCTTGTCGCCTGTCAAAAAATATTCGATTTCAATTCCAAGCGAATGGTTTTCAATTTCCAATAAAGAAATTTGTTCGTAAAAATCCAAATTGATTTATAAAATTAATGTAGTTGTTGTAATTGAATTTGAGCAGGTTTTCAATGCGGAGCGAGTGTCGTTAGCAATAAATCAATTATTAACGGCATGCCCCACCCGCAGCCTTCATTTCTGCTACCAACGCTCTGGGTGTCTTTATCTGACTTGCAGGTAAATTTTGCTCWGTCGATTTGGGTTTTTATAATTTATGCAAGCTTTTTTAGAAGGCATTACCTTTTGCTCCCAGCCTTTCTCTCTCTCCCTATTTTAATGGAGTCATTAATTTTGCATTTTTCGTAAATTCTCGCACACATACTTCCATAGACATACTTCGTTGGTACTTCTTMCTATCGAAGGTTACTTTCTTAGTAGAAGCAATCTTCTTGGTTGTGTTGGCGAGGAATCTTCGCATAATTTTCGATCTCATATTTTAAATGGTGTCGCCGTTTTGTGTGATTTTATCAATTTAATGGGAAATCGATGAGACTTAAATGGCTGGCACTTTTAAGTGAGGAAAGTGATTCAATTGAACACTTGTAACTCTTTCTTTTTGCAATTGAAAATTATGTAAATTGATTTAAACACAATGTTTAAGCTATTTAGAGCATTCAAYTGAAATAATTTTTCACGACCGAGCCTAAACCCAATTTGGACGAAGTGGGCTACTGTGAAATGACGCCTTCTCTCGATGAAAAAAAAAAAAAAAACAATATTATATGAACTCTTCAGGCTTTATGGTGTTGATAAAGAAATATCTATTGCGTAAATATATCGCAGTGGAAACTTTAGAGATATATGCTTCCGAAAGCGGTTATAAAATCTTGACWTACATATGTGCAGTCTTAAGCAAAAGAGGAGAGTTGTCGGTTGTCTAAGGGTAGTCTGCTGGGACTCACAAGCCTCTTAGCAAGCACTGGATCTTATGAACTTATTACGCTAAATAAATTATAGGAGTTTCTATCCAACAATATGCATCCAGACGCTTATTGTTTTGATTCGTTTCGAGAATTATGTCATCGTGATGGACATGGCTGGATCGGCAAGTGAGCCATGTATAGACCATTTTTGGTCTTTGGTAAGCAAATTTCAACAGGCTCTGTACGCTCACTAACGATACCCAAATTCTTGAAGCGTTGTCTATCCAAGGGGGGACAAGCGCACAAAAGATCATCCATTGATGATTTGCGCATTGCTCTTGACATATCTAGTAGACCACTCGGTATGTGCAACCGACAGACTCTAAAAAGGTGGGTATTCGAATTATGTTCCATCAGCCCCTCTTATCGAGCACCAGTAGGTATTTCGTGTATTTCTGATTTACCGCTTTGCACGTGACTTTTGCAACTTYGCACCCAGGTAGAACGTTTCATCGCATTTTGATCTTACTTGCCACCCCCTGTCTTGATCGACGTATTGGCAAAGAATAGACTTGTCAATCGCAATCAAGTCTTCGGTTGACAATCGTATTCTTCTTTTGGCAATCTCGTTCACTATCTCATTACCCCAGTAGAAGTGAAGTCGCTTGTTCCTGGGGACACTCTCCGCCGCTGTCAGTCTTCCCAAGTCATTTTTGACCGATATGTAGGACGAGGTTATTGCTTTGATTGCTGATTGGCTGTCATCGTAGAAGTTAACTCTGGAATTGCCAGTTGATGTATCATATTCCAGCTCCACGACTTTCCCAATAGCAAAAACCTAGACATGGGTCCGGACAAAAATCCCCACACCAACTCCGTCCTCCATATTCGAGTCATCTCTATAAATGATTAATGTTCTGCGCTCAAAATCAGTAAAACCGAATATCTTCACACAAATTTTTGGAATTGCTAAAATATTTAAAATTTATTAATTTAAATTATCAATTTCTTCACTGACAGATAGCGGTTTCCTGAAGCGTGTTTGCATAAAATACCTAACCTATAAATGCTRCAAAAATTCACTCTGACAAATAGCTAAGTAACTTGAGTATACTCAGGAATTAGGTAATATAGCGGTGAATGAAAATATTTCACTCAAGTTGACTTCCACTCATAACACTCCGTTGCACCACAAATGCATTGAAGCACCAAAAAAAATGTTACGCCCCAGCGACACAAGCCCTAAGCAAAATATTCACCAAAAAACTGAGCTGTCCCTTCGTGCTAACAAATTCATTCGGATGAAAAATATTCCCCAGAGAAATTGCAAATACTTGTGAAATAAAATATTTTTCGGTGTGGACCCGCTGAAACCCGCAGGCAGTTAAGCGGCAACTCTTATTGAATTAGTGGCATCCAAAGAGCCAAGTGTCGGCACAAAAGTGGCCATCAACACCAAAACAACAGAGACAACAACGGCAATAGGAGCGAACAAACCACAAATTGTAGTGGTCAGAATTGGAATGGTAGGAATTGGAGTGTGGACGGATGAAATTGGAATGTAAGTGGCTGAAAGAAATGCAACCAACACACAACGCTCCAAGTGCGCCGAAGGCAAAAGTGGCCAGCACATTGCAAGAATAGACACTAGAGTGCATAGTTGGTGGGATCCGCCAGGTGGGAGGGAGCAAGGCAATCGTGCTGCTTGTGAGAGCGGCCGGAAGTTGTGCAAAATAAAAAGGTATTTATCAGCATAATTACATTTTTAATGGCTTTTTAAACCGCAAAAGCCGCACAACTAGCGCAAAACTGCAACTGTGGCGTTGACAACAGCAGCGCGGCAAAAACAAAGGCAAGTTAGTGGATAGTGGAGCGGGGGGAACGCGGAAATAGTGTYTTGCTGCAAGCAAGTTATGCATAAATTCTTCTTTCGTATTTTGTTTTTACGCCTCTTTTCCGATGATTGCATTTCACAACTCAGTGACAAGTGGAAAATGAGAAAAACGCTTCGACGGCTGTAAGCGCAGGACTCATTAAAGTCATACTTGTAATGTGCTTGCCGTGCCAATGTGGCAGAAATATTACGTAAAGTGAAATTTAGCTTTCAACAATATTATTTTAAGTGAAAGGTTACATTTTCTTAAAAGTATAGATTTTTTCCGGTAAATTACACATTTTATACTAAGCTCTATGACAACGGTTCAACATATATATTCTCGGCGTTCTGGCCATAAATTCGCTGCACATCAACTCTTTCAACACATATATGGACTCTCATAGGAAACCGTATCGAACYCACGAAACTTTAACATTT